GCCCGCGGCGCCCACCTGCTTGGAGACCTTGAGCCACGTCTTCTTGAGGCGGAAGATGGCACTGCGGTTGAGCGAGGAGGTGATCTCCAGCACCGCGTTGTAGTTGTGCAGGCACCGGCAGATGTCCGCCACCGCCACCCACTTCTCGATGGCGCTCACCCGCGCGTTGATCTCCTCGTTGCGCAGGATCTCCGACGCTATCAAGTTGCTGACCTGGGGGGCAGAGCACAGCTGCTGTCCCTGGGAATTGCCCTGGCTCTGGCCTTCCACCTGCAGCTCATTCCCAAAAAACTGCATGGCCTGGGAAGGAGCGAGTCCAGCTGCCCCGGCGCTGCTGGCACAACGCAGACCCAAAAACACGGAGCCGCCAAGCGCAGAACGCGCTGCCCAGGCCCGCAGCCTTACGTCATTGAAGTGCTTGGTGTTCTTCATGATGTACGGGGTCCGCTCGTTCTTCTCCAGCTTCATCCAGCCTTGCCCAAAGAACTCCCTGCAAGCAACAGCATTTGGTGGTGTTTGTCCGCAGAGGCTTCGCAGCAGCGGGAGCAGCTCGCGGCCGGCAGCGGCATCGCGGGGTTGTGGATCGCAGGACTCACTCGTAGGGGATCTTCTTGAACACCAGGTGGTCGAGCAGCGTGAGCTGCTCCGCGATTTCCAGCGCCGAGTGGTTCTCGAAGGGTTCGGCTCTGACGCCCTCCGCCTAAGGGACACGGTGGGGGCCGGTCACTTAAGAGCAGGGCCAGGGGCTTTTGCTTTTTCATTTCTTCACCCGTCACAGACACAAAAGCCAACCCCAGCAGAGCGCAGGGTGCCCGCAGCGGGGCCGTCCCGCTCCGTCCCTCGCGCCCCGCGCGCGGGAAGCAGCACTTGCCATGTGCAGCACCTCCTCCAGGGAGATCTGGTTGTCCCCGGGGTCCTCCTGCGTCAGGGTCCTGCGGCAGGAAAACGGAGCCGCTCTGGCTGGGGGGCCGGAGCCCGTGGGGCTGCCACAGCCTCTGGGTCACCCCCGGCCCGGGCAGAGGAGCACCACAAATCCCAGAGGGAAAAACACCCTTGAATGGGATCCCAGCCTGGCGTGCACTGCCCCGACACCACGGTGAGGGGCACATGCAGCCCCCATGGGCACCTGCTTCCCAACCCAGCGGTTCCAAAGCCCTCGGAGAGGTTCGGCACCCGCTCCCGCCCCGCACGAGGGCTGTCGCGGTGCCCAGGGCGCGCGGCACCAGCGGCTCCACC